TTGCTGTATTACTGTTTTGAGTCGCTGGCTTCGCTTCTCGGCCTTTTGGCTAAGATCAAGTGTTGAGTCGCTGGCTTTCCTTTACCACTCCTTTCTAAAACCCTGGCTTTAGATGTACCTGGTGTGTAGTACGCACTTGTCTTGCTTGGTGAGCTGAAGTGCCAGTCTGATTACAGCTTAGTGGTTGAGTGGTGGGCCGTGTTGCACTTTATCCTTGCAAAGGATAATGTTGGAAGATTGGGCTTTCTGCACCTCCCATAGTTCCTTTTACTTTGTTCTTATATGGTGTCTTGCATTTCCTCCAGAGATTTTTCTTCTGTCTTTTTCACATTTATAATTCAGTTTTCTGTCATTGATTTCCGCAGAAAGTGATCTCTGTCCGGGTCTGTGACATGGGGGCCCAAGCAGGCACTTGGACGGTCTTCTGCTGCCTTTCTAGGTACATTGTCAGGGAGTTGGATAGGAAGTGAACCTTGGTGAGCTCCAGTTGGCCCTCTGGTGTGGTATGCTAGAACTGCAAACCGTGGCTTTGCTTGCTACATCGCCACACTGCCATTCACCTCTTCGATGGCCCGGTGTGTAAATATAGTTACAGCTTAAGGGTATAGAGGTTAAATCTTGAATTTACAAATTTTGAGGGAATACATGATAGCCCAGGGCAGCCAAGAAACAGAAAATGTGTAAGACAGTACAAGTGAGCAAAAGAATTTGGGCCTTGATTTGCTGCTGCTGTGTCGTGAGCACAGATGTATGCGACTGTTTCAGATAACGCTGTCTCACAGTGGTTGATTAGAATGCAGGTATGTATGCTCAGTTCTTAGGACGCCATCATCAAATTAGCTGAGAAATAGCTTTATACAAGAAATAAAATAGTGATACTGTAAGTTACCTGGAAAATGTTATTTGAACCCCAAAAACGTAATTTCTAGTGTGGTTTATTTATTCTATTCTGAATAATTTCACAATATTTTAATTCTGGTGTTTATAGTCACTATATTTGCATAAACATACATTTTGTTAAACGTATCCACTTCTTTTTCTCCAAGACTGAATTTCCTGCTCTTGTTAGCCTTGTGGCACTTCTTTCTTAATTCTGGCCCTCTGTATTACATCACAACAGCGAATTTCTTATCTTTGTATATGTCTTGATTCTGAAGAAACTGTACTGTTCAGCCTTTTTCTGTTTCCTAAAAATGACTTTTTTTTTTTTAGTATTAATTACATTGTATTATGTGACACAGTTTTATAGGTACTGGGATTCTCCCCACCCTTCCCCAACCTTCCTCCCATGGTGGATTCCTCCACCTTGTTGTGTAACCACAGTTCAAGTTCAGTTGAGATTCCTTCATTGCAAGCATATACCAAGCATAGAGTCCAGCATCTTATTGTCCAGATAAGTACAATGGCTTTTTTTTTTTAAGATTTATTTTATTTTTATTGGAAAGGCGGATATACAGAGAGGACAGACAGAGAGGAAGATCTTCCGTCCAATGATTCACTCCCCAAGTGAGCGCAAAGGCTGATGCTATGCCGGTCCGAAGCCAGGAGCCTCTTCTGGGTCTCCCACGAGGGTGCAGGGTCCCAAAGCTTTGGGCCATCCTTGACTGCTTTCCCAGGCCACAGGCAGGGAGCTGGATGGGTAGCGGAGCTGCCGGGATTAGAACCGGTGCCCATATGGGATCCCGGGCGTGCAAGGTGAGGACCTTAACCACTGTGCCATTGTTCCGGGCCCAGTACAACGGCTTCTTGGGGAGACCTTCTCTGGTCCCTGTTTAGCTGGTGGTTGCAATTGCTGGGTTGATTCCGTCTTGAGCCTGGACTTCCACTGGAATCCCACTGGAATCAATGGGTGTTGTAGTCTGTCCTGGTTCTGCTTGTCATGTACTCGGCCCTCACACCAACCACTGGGAGCTGCAGCCTAGGGGGAGCGATCCCCAGTAACCCCCACCTGGCCCGCCCCGTCCTGATTTGCCAGCATGTGTAGCAGCCTAGTTCAGTCTGCGCCATACCCCATTGGGCTCACATAAATGTCGAAGGGTATTGGAGCTTAGTTCCATCCAACCAGCTCAACAGTCCAGCCCTCACGGATGTTGTCAAGTGCCTCTCTGTCTAGCCAACCCAGCCCCTGTCCTAGTTGTTATCGTGCCCTCCCAGGTCACTCTCACTCTCGGTTGTGCTCTCTCCAGGTGGCCCTGTGGTTGGACTTGACTGTAACGGCCCCTAGTGCCAGCTTCTGCTATGGCTAAGCCCCGACAGCTCTCAGCCCCTCCAGTTTTGTTAACACTAGTGGCAGTAGTGTGCCCGTCCTGGCTCTTCCCTGATCTGGTCCATATGAGGCGCACAGGTGCTGCAGCCCTACCTAGTCTGGTCCCAGCTCATGTTCTCCAGTGGAAGTAGCTATCCAGCACGGGAACCACCCCTTATTCCCCTGTTGGCTCTGCTCCCCCTTCCTGATTCTCACGTGTGTTGGTTGGGTGCTGCGATCTCATCTGGCACAGGCAGCCTCACCTTGGTATTCTGTGTTGTGTCCTGCTTTTGTAGTGACAAAACCTGGCTCGACCCACACTCTGCTCTGGTGTTCGGATTTGCCAGTGGACGACACGAACTGACTCACTGTACTTTATTTAGAAGATTTTTATTGTTTGCTTATTCGAATAATATAATGGGAAAGAAGAATTGGAAGTGCAGGAGTGGGGGGATAGAAGTGTTGGAGTGATAGTCTTGTGGAATAAAATGTGAAATTCACACAGAATGAGAACCATTCTTCCTGTGAACAGGGCGGGTGCCCACAGCAAAGTGGGGCACGCGGGGGGGGGGGTGCTGAAACAAAGTTAGCTGATGTGATGGTGACAGCATGTGGTAGGAATTTTTTTGGATTTTGATTTTAAGTATTTTGCTTTTGCTTCTATTGTCTTAGTAAAATAGGAAACAAAATCATAAGCTTAAAGTCCTTAGTGAAAGAACGTGTGCTGAATGAATGAAGAGGGACTGAGGAGAATGAGTGTGAAGGATGTGGGAAGTGGCTTTTCCTCTTGTTTCTTCTTGTTTTGTTATTTTGGCACTGGACGTGCAGTGACTTCATTCCTCTGAACTTCTCCCTTGACGTGCGAACAGCTTTTCCTTCATACAAGTTTACACTTTTGCATGTGTGCTTGCTGTGCTGTTTTAACTCATTATGATTCCAGGTAGATCAGTCTTGTTTCTTTTTCTCCTTTTCAGTTTTCCAGTCATGGAAAGCCATGTCTTTTGTGTACACAGTAGAGTTCAGAGCATTGCAGCCTGAGCCAAGTGTGCTTTCTGTGTCTGAGGACCTATTTACTTGCTTTCCTTCTTTCTCTCTCTCTCTCTCTCTCTCTCTCTCTCTCTCACTCTCTCTCTGTCTTTTTAAATAAACTCATTCACTCCCCAATTGGTTGAAATGGGCTAACTTCATCTGAGTCTCCCACGTGGGTGGCGAGAGTCCAGGCACTTCAGTCACTCTCCCGTGGATGCTTGTAGCAACCTGGATTGGAAATGGAACAGCAGGACTCAGCTGTGGGACTTCAAGTGTTGTAAGCAGTGGCTTTGCCACTTTGCTGATGCCAGGATTTATCTCTTTATAATGTTTAAAACTTGAAATGAGAGGAGACGGTCCTTTTCAGGCTTTCACTGTATGAGGACAAACCTATTGTAAATGGTAAAGTTGTTTTGTTGCTACTTTTTAAGATATATTTATTTTACTTGGAAAGCTGGAATTACAGAGAGGAGGAGAGATACAGGGAGATCTTCCGTCTGCTGATTTCACTCCCCATGTGGCTGCAGTGACCTCAGTGGGGCCCTTCCAAAACTGGGAGCCAGGTGCTTCTTCTGTGTCTCCTATGTGTGTGCAGGGGCCAGGGACTTGGGCCATCCTCTGCTGCTTTCCCAGGGTATAGACAGGGAGCCGGATCTGGAAGTGGAGCTGCTGAAACATGAACCAGTGCCCATATGGGATGCTGGGATAGGCAGAGCATTAGCCCGTTATACCATCACATGAGCCTCAGTATTTTGTTTTGAGAAAGATTTGTTCTTGTATGATATCAAGTCACTCTTTGGGCCATTTTTTATCATCATCATCATAACTGACACCGAGTACTTACCATGAAATTTGTAGTGATTAACTTGTGAGGCAGTTTTTTTTTTTTTAATAATCTATTTTTTTTAAATTATTTTTTTTAAAGATTTATTTTATTTTTATTGGAAAGGCGGATATACAGAGAGGAAAGACAGAGAGGAAGATCCTCCATCCGATGATTCACTCCCCAAGTGAGTGCAAAGGCCGATGCTATGCCGATCCGAAGCCAGGAGCCTCTTCCGGGTCTCCTGCACGGGTGCAGGGTTCCAAAGCCCTGGGCCGTCCTTGACTGCTTTCCCAGGCCACAGGCAGGGAGCTGGATGGGAAGCGGAGCTGCTGGGATTAGAACCGGTGCCCATATGGGATCCTGGGAGTGCAAGGCGAGGACCTTAACCACTGCGCTATCATACCGGGCCCTAATAATCTATTTTATAAATGAGGAAACTAGTAGGTATAGAGTGATTATGAAACTTGGCCCACATCCTTCAACAAGATGACAGTCCTAGGAGCCTTCCTTCTCTCTCTGGTCATTAACTTTCCTTCAGACTTCTCTACATGAAGGACTGCTGTGATATGCTTGCTCGGAGTGCCTTTTGATTTTGCTTTCTTTATAAGCAGGGACATTGATTATTAGGCCTGTCTTGATTTCTCAGCTGAAGCAAGGGTAAGAGTTTTGAGATAAGCTACGTTCCTAAAGAAAGGGTTCTTATGGCGATTTCCCATACATGTTGCTGATTGACTTTGTATTATGAAAGAGGAAAGCTGAATAATTAATTTCAGACCCTGCATAGTCTCGGAATCTCATGGATACTGATCCAGAATTTGTCTTTTCTGCAGTGATTGTAGTTTTTGAGGTTTTATTTCTTAGTTAAAGGAATAGAAACAGTGTTTCTACTTTGTCTCACAGGGTTGGAACTACCAAGTAAGGAATTGAAATATATGATGCTGGAAACTTACAGAAGGGAACTGCCATGACAGAGAGACCTGAAAGACATGTGTTCTCCAGATCTCAAGAAAATGACTGTGAAGGCAGTTCTGGGCCATGAAGACCAGTGGAAAGCTCCCTGAGAGAGAGCCATAGACAATGTATACTTCCGAAGAAAGATGTAATCCGAGAACTCAGAAAAGGAAAATATACCATGTGGGCCCTCAGAAGGGTAAAAAGATTTTCTTACATGTGCATGACGTTTCTCAAGTAGATGATCAGATATCTCAGTGCCTTGAATGCCAACCCAACTTCTGCAAAAACTTAGCTTTTATTATGTGTGAGAGAACACACACTGGGGAGAAACCTTACAGACGTGATATGTGCGAGAAAACCTTTCTCCAAAGTACGGATCTTACTTCACACCAGAGGATCCACAATTATGAGAAACCTTACAAATGTAGTAAATGTGAGAAGAGCTTTTGGCATCACTTAGCCCTTTCAGGACACCAGAGAACACACGCAGGTAAAAAGTTTTATACGTGTGATATCTGTGGCAAGAATTTTGGTCAGAGCTCTGATTTGCTTGTCCACCAGCGAAGCCATACAGGCGAGAAACCGTATCTGTGCAACGAGTGTGATAAATGTTTCAGTCGCAGTACAAATCTGATAAGGCACCGAAGAACTCATACAGGTGAGAAACCCTTTAAATGTCTGGAGTGCGAGAAAGCTTTCAGTGGGAAATCCGATCTTATTAGCCACCAGCGAACACACACTGGCGAAAGGCCCTACAAATGTAATAAGTGTGAGAAGAGTTACCGACACCGCTCAGCCTTCATTGTACATAAGAGAGTTCATACTGGGGAGAAGCCCTACAAGTGTGGTGCCTGTGAGAAATGCTTTGGCCAGAAGTCAGACCTTATTGTGCACCAGAGAGTCCACACAGGCGAGAAGCCGTACAAGTGCTTGGAGTGTATGAGGAGTTTTACTCGGAGTGCCAACCTAATTAGGCACCAGGCAACACATACCCACACTTTTAAATGCCTGGAATATGAGAAAAATTTCAACTGTGGCTCAGACCTTATTGTGCATCAAAGAATTCATATGGAGGAGAAACCACATCAGTGGGCTGCGTGTGAGGGTGGTTTCCTGTTAGGTATGGATTTTGTTGCCCAGCAGAAAATGAGGACTCAGACAGAAGAGCTTCGTTACAAATACAGTGTGTGTGATAAAAGCTTTCACCAGAGCTCAACTCCTCAGCATCAGACAGTGCCTGTTGGTGAGAAACCATATATCTGCAGTGTGGGTGAGAAGGGTCTGGAACACAGCCCTCCCCATGCATCAGAAGCCTCGCAGATATCCTGACCAGCAGATCATGGACCTGTAAAAATGTATTTACATGTCAGAGGACTAACTAAAATGAAGAACGTAGGCAAATCTCAAATCTTCCTCGGTGCTGAAACTTCAGCGGGGATCTGAGAGCCTGTGGTTGGAGGTAGTGTGCGACACCTTGCCCGCTAACAGACCGCCGTATCAACTAGTTGTTGCAATGAAGACATTTACACATGTCCTGTTTCTGGAAAGTCTTTAGTCTGAACTCAAATTTGATCACTCACAAAAGGATTCTGACAAACGGGAAACCTTAGAAATTGTGAGTGTGAGAGAGCTTTGTGACAGTGCTTACTCCTCATTGCAAGGGAATTTACATTGGTAAACAACTTTTTCAATGCCTGTAGGCGCATCTCATTGGACACCAGAAAGCCCACCCTGGGGAGACTCCAGCAAGTGTGAAGACAGCTTCTAACAGAACTCTTACTTTCTTGCCTATCTGAGAAGCCATACTGGTGAAAAATTGTGCATTTGTCTTGAGTGTGGCACAAGAATATTTATAGAGAGCCTTACCTGGTTTTATACCCCACAGAACACCCAACATGAGGAGGGAGAGACCTTAGGAGTATTTGGATGAGAAAGCTTGTGAATGGCTGGCTCTTGTGGTATATCAGGGAACTAAGTGGAAAAAAAAAAACTGTAAATACTTTGAGTTTGAAAAATGTTTTGCTGTAAGCTCTTATCAGGCCCCAAAGAACCCATTCTTAAGAGAAGCTTGCTGCTATGAGAGATCAGACTATACATATGATAGGAATGAGAACTGTCTCATAGTTGACACTTAAAATAAGGATAAGGTTGATTGAGTGGAGTCAGCATGAGAGTACGCTTTAGACATCAAGGAGCTTGTTCTAGGAGAAAGTGGGCAGGTCAGAGGGGACCTAATGGGTAACTCAGGTAAAGTTACTTTTGTTTTATCTGAATCACTTCATGGTGGCTTTACTTTCATTGTTTAAATTTTATACATCCACTAAGGGAAGATAATTTAATCTTTGTAATGGGGTGACGTGTGACAGTGTTGGGAAAAAGAATGTGTTGATTTTGCCTCTGGATTTTCATCCTTGGCCAGAATGGAACTCATGTTAAGTAGCATGAGAACCTCTTGATGGTAGCGAAAAGAATAAGAAGCTCGGAAGGATGTAACTACGCCAGTAGTTTCCTCTTTGCAGGGCCAGCCTCAAAAAGGTGCAAGATCCTCAGCTGCTTTCTTAGTGTGAATTGAGTCACATCCTTACAATTTGGCTTTTCCCCATGATATTTTTATGGTTCTTATTGGTATTTGAAATTTCTATTTGAGATTCATTTTGTTTCATTTCAATAAGTAGGTTCCAGCATTGTGGCTGTGACGGTAGTGTCTGTGCATCATCTTATCCTCCTTGGAAAGAGATGCCTCTGAGTCTGCTCTGGCTAGGTAAGGACAAGAGAGAGCTGGTGCCCACGTGTGCACAATGTGAAACGGAGTGAAGTTTTCAACAGAAGAGCAAGGCTTCATTTAGAGTGCCTGAGTCAGCCCGTGTTCCCTTCACTCTGCAATCTTGCTGTTTACAGCAATTCAAACCTCTTGATTATATCTTTCATTTATTTCAGATCTGCCAAGGAAAGAGAAAATATCTTTTAATCCCAGGGAAAGAATTGCAGTCTCCACAATGTAAGGTATACTTCTGGCTTGGACAGAGGATTTTAAATGCTACAAGGGGAAAGTGGTTGGCACTTGTGTCATTTGTTTAAAGATAATCACTTGTCTCCTAAGTAACAGGAAGCTTTGATTATTTTTAACATTCTCTAGGAATCCTGTAATCTAGGGATTTGTAATGTTTGCATCGGTTGTCCTCTTCCTTCAGATTAAGCCATTTAATCTAGACAATTCAGGTTCATGCAGCACTTGGGATTCTGTAGGCTGGTCACTAGTCTTGGTTTGGTTTGGTGCATCATAATTCCTAAACTCCAAAGGTCGTTGGCACTTGGGCGTGTGGAGGTAAGCAGCTGCTGCCTTGCGTAGCTGTTAGTGTTTCATCCAAACGACTGATTGATGATTATGGTCCGCTTAGGTCCAGAAGGTGTAGCTTTTAAGAAGGAAACTGACTCTAGCATATTTTTTCTTTCAGTAAACATCTGAATGCTTATTTGGTCCAATTCGTTTCAGTACTTTTTTATAAATAGCTCTTGTACCTTGAACAGTTGCCCATTGTGATAAAACACACAAGATCATTGATTTTTTTTGTTTGTTTGTTTATAGTGAAAATCATACCTATAACTAGTTTATGTTCAACAATAGTATGTAAAATAGCATGGGTTGTGTGGCATGGCAGTGATGAAAATTACGGCTACTTGGTGGTCATTAGAACTTGGAGAAGGAGAGAAAAAAGCAGGGCAGTTATTTGTGTCTTTCACTAATCTTCTCTAGGCTTTAAAGTAATGGTGGACCCCTCCCTCAGAACTCAGCTTTGGGCATATGAATCAGGTCTGAGGGCTTTTAATCATGGAGGGAAAGATGTTGGTACTGATATAGCATAGCCTGAGGTTGGAGAGGACCAGTTGGGAGCCTGTAACCAAAACTAGAAGGTAACTTCTGGAGTGGATGGAGGTTCCCTGAAGCAGTGCCAACCTAAATCTACCTCAGGTAAGTCGGATAACTTTTTCAAGGTTGCAGACCAAACAACTTGTATTCATTCATTGTATTCCTATGCTTTAATGTTTTTGTTTTATCTTAATGCTTAAAATAAACATTTGTTCTGACAAACTCTACTTTTGTTTCCATTGTTCCAAGAGAAACGATATTTCTCTGTGCCTGCGTTAGGAGAATGTGGATATTCATGTGATGCTTAGGCCTGATGGTGGTGATGACTATTGAGCCCCCTTTAGGAATCCAGAAGGAACTGCTTTCTGCCTTGCTGTGGACACTGTATGTTTCTGAAGCATCCACATTGCATACATAAATAGTACAGGAAATAATCATGACTTGAACTGACCATATTTGGGGCTCTGCTAAAATTTAGAGGCAACCAATCTAAGTACTTGAAATTAGAAATTAAACTTGATGTTGTGACTCCTGGTAGAATTCACATTTGACTCCAGTTTTTTTGCCCCACCTCAGTCTTATTTGTTGAAGTAGATTGAGGGAGATGGTCTCAAAGGGGTAATACTTTGTTTCGCCCATCACCATAGGGTTAGCCTCAGTTCATATCTTTTTGTTCTATGAATGGAATCAGTCAGTCGCAGGATTGTAAGTGGCTATTATAAGAGAAAGATATGAGACTGTTGGATGGCTAAGAAGAAAAAGGGAAAATACAGCTTCAAGTTTTGGTTTTTCTTGCGTTCATCTCAAGTAAAATGACTATGCCAAGTCCTCCAGCCTTCATGATTTTGTGGTTAGAAGTATTTCTGGGAAAGAGAAAAAACTAGTCATACGCCCTAGAAGTAACTGAAAGGAACTGTGCTCCGGGTCTTTGGGAAAGTAGAGAAAGGTGCTCTTCTTGATTCTTTTCATTGCTCCTTGAATAAGCGAATTTGCTGAGAAACTTCCTTGTCCCTGGAGCGTTACCTTGTGTCATCAGTTTGTGCCAAGATTTAGATTTCTAGTGAGTGAGATGCTGCATCCAGTTGCCACTTGCAAAGGAAATCCTTCCTATACACAAAAGGAAAGTTAAAGGGAAAACGGGGGCTTCACATCAAATAGTAGATGGGTAGAGCCTCATTGAGGGAACGAGCACTTGGAGTAGCTCCTGGTTTTGTAAAGAAGAATCACAGAGGAGAGAAAGGTCTTCCGTTTGTTGGTTCACTCCTCAGATGGCCACGGTGGCTGGAGCTGAGCTGATTTGAAGCCAAGAGTTTCTCCCAGAGCTCCCATTAGTAGGGAGCTGGATTGAAAGGAGAAACAGTCGGGATACAAACTGGTGGCCGCGTGGGATAGGCCGACTCTGCTTGGCCTCAGGAGTAGCATTCTTTTTTTTTTTTAAAGATTTATTTTTATTATTTTTTATTACAAAGTCAGATACACAGAGAGGAAGATCTTCCGTCCGATGATTCACTCCCCAAGTGAGCGCAACGGGCCGATACTATGCCGGTCCGAAGCCAGGAGCCTCTTCTGGGTCTCCCACGCGGGTGCAGGGTCCCAAAGCTTTGGGCCGTCCTCGACTGCTTTCCCAGGCCACAGGCAGGGAGCTGGATGGGAAGCGGGGCTGCCGGGATTAGAACCGGCACCCGTATGGGATCCTGGGCGTGCAAAGTGAGGACCTTTAACCACTTGCGCCACCGTGCCAGGCCCAGGAGTAGCATTCTTATAACAAAGAGCAGCAGCTGCTGCTGTAGTGACTTGCTTGCTGCTGCTGCCGGTGACCTATCCTATCCTCGTTCCAGCCTTCCTGCTCGTGGGACACTCTTCCCCACCAGGAAGCTCTGACGGTCAGAATCTTCTGACAATGACCAAAGAAATTTCCAGGTCTCTCCACCCACACAAACACTATTGAACAACTTCGAAATCTCTGTGTCTCTGCTATTGATTGTCATTCATTTCCTTCACAGATTTTTTTTTTCTCTTCAAAAAAATTGTTTAAATACTGTTATCATTTTTAATGTTTTATATGTGGATATATAGACTTTCTTAAAAACCGGGAAATAAATATGGATTAATGATTGTGAAACGAGGAAGGTGTTATGTGAAGTATAATTCAATGAATACAATATTTATAACTGCATACTAAAAGGCATAGCATCCACATATTTTGTGTGTACTGTATATTAACTACTACATGAGAGACAATATGTATTAGTGGTGTCTGGTTTATTTCTATTAGCAAATTTATCCCCAGTTCCATGTATTTTAAGTGTTAGAATCTCGTCATTCTTTTTTTTATGACTGAGTAATATGAATGTTGCTGTGTGTGTGTGTGTGTGTGTGCACACTTCAGTATCCAGTTATCTGTTGATGGACAGCTAGCTTGCATCCCTCTCTTGGCTATTGTGAAGTGAGCTGCTGTTAGGAACTAAGAGAGTGCTCTCATATGCTCACCTAAGTCCCTTGGCCATATTCCTAGAGATAGGATAGTTGGGTCATATGATAGATCTGTATTTCGTTTGTTTTTTGAGCAATCTTTGTACTGTTTTCCATAATAGTTGCAGTAATTTGCATTCCTACCAACTGTATTATGGTACCTTTTTTCCCCCTCTACCTCACCAACATTTATTATTATATCTTCTTCGTCTTTGGGATAGTAACTTCTTGCTAGAGTGAGATGATACCTCATTGTTGGTCTCATTGCATGTCCATGATTGCTAGCGATTCTGAGGTTTTCAAGTGTTTGTGAATTTGAATTTTTTCTCTTCAAAAGTCTTTATATCCTTTCCCTGTTTTTGTTTTTAAGATTGATTTATTTGACAGAGTTACAGAGAGGGTGGCAGAGCATGAGATATTCCATCTGCTGGTTCGCTCCCCTGATGGCTGCAATGGCTAGGTTTGAGTCGAGCCATAACCAGGAGCCATAAGCGTTGTCTAGTATCCCATGTAAGTGGCAAGGCTGTCTTTTGTTTTTCACTCAGACCATCAGCAGGGAGTTGGATAATAAATGGAGCAGCTGCTGCATGAACCCCTATCATTCTTGCATCACAGGTGTGGTGGCTTTAATCAGCTATGCCAGAAAATCTGCCACCATTTGCCCATGTTTAGGATTTATTTATTTGAAAGGCAGTGTAACAGGAACAGACATACAGATCATCCTTCAGTTGTCATTCCCAAAATGGTTGAAGGTCTGGGCCAGGCTAAATAAAGAAGCCAGGAACTATGTATGGGGGACAGGGGGCCAAGCACTTGGTACCTTCTGTTGCCATGTCAGGCACATTAGCAGGGAGCTGAATTGGAAGCAGAGAAGTCAGGACTCCAGCTGGTAATCTGATAGGTGATGCCAACATCCCCTGTAGCTACTTACCCCCACGTGCCCAACACTGGCCCCATTTGCCCATTTCTTAAATGGACTGTTTGATTACTGCATTCCATAAACCCCTTGTATATTTTGGGTAATAGCCCTTTATGAGGTGCATAGTTTCCAAATATTCCTTTATTTTGTTTTTTTTTTTAAGATTTATTTTTATTATTTTTTTATTGGAAAGGCAGATATACAGAGAGGAAAGACAGAGAAGATCTTCCATCCGATGATTTACTCCCCAAGTGAGTGCAAAGGCCGATGCTATGCCGATCCGAAGCCAGGAGCCTCTTCTGGGTCTCCCACATGGGTGCAGGGTCCCAAAGCTTTGGGCCATCCTCGACTGCTTTCCCAGGCCACAGGCAGGGAGCTGGATGGGAAGCGGAGCTGCCGGGATAGAACTGGCACCCGTATGGGATCCGGGGCGTGCAAGGCAAGGACCTTAACCACTGCGCCACCGCGCCGGGCCCTATTTTGGTTTTATTCTTGTTAATTATTTCCTTTTCTGTGCAGAAGTTTATTTGTCCGTGTTTGCTTTTATTGCCTGCGCTTTGGGAATCTTCCTCAAAAAGTTATTACCTAAGCCAGTGTCTTTAAGTGTTCTCTGTATGTTTTCCTCCAATAGTTTCACTTCTTAATTTCAGATTCTTCATGCTCTTTAATTTGATTTTTGTATAGGCTATGAGATAAGAATTTCGTTTCAAATCCAATTTCCTCAGTGTAAGTTATTAAAGAGTCCTTTTTAAAAAATTCTATTTTTGACAATTTTTATATAGTTGATTTCGGTGCACAGGGTCAAGGGCTAGCGGAAAGTGAGTAAGACCATTGTTACCACATTCTCTTATTTCCTTCCTGTATCTGGGGGAAGGAGGAAGATAAAGGGAAAAGCCACACCTAGCCTCCCTACCATCCCAGGGTCCCCAGTGTGGGGCATGTGGAGTATGCTCCAAGGGTCAGTTCTTCTCAAGTGTTTGCTAGTTCAACGGTTCTGAATTGCTGCTGATCTCTCCACTCCAAGCATGATGAAATCTCTCTAGAATCCACTGGTTGACGTCGTCCGCCCCAGAGTCTCCATTTGCCCGGATATTCACTGCCAACTCTTGGCTGGGGTGGTCGATCAATTTGCTCTGTCCTCTGTCATGGTACCAGCTGTTCTTTGCAGAATCCAATGTACTGCCATATCCTCCGTGTGCACCTGGATGTGCTGTCCACTGCTCCTTCTAAAGCCATTGAGGAGGCCCAGCTCCGGAGAGTCCTTTTTCCTAGTGAATGTTTTTAGTCTATTCATTGAAGTTAGGTTGCTTGGGGATATGTGTACTTATTTCTGTGATTTCTTTTCATGCCTTTTTATTGGTTAGTACCAAATGGTTTATCAATTTTTTTTCCAAAAACTAGCTCCTGGAAGCCAGTGTTTCGCTCCAAATTGTAGTGTCAGTTTGAGCTTCACCTACTTTCCTGCTTTGTTCTTTGTTGCCAGTGCACCTGGGAAAGCACTGGAAGATGGCCTAAGAACTTCGGCTTCTGCTACCCTTGTCAGAGACCACAGTGCAGTTCTTGATTCCTGGCTCAACCCTGGCCATTGCAGTTGTTTGGGAAGACGCCACCAGGGACTGATGCATTCATTCTCTTCCCTCTCTGTGTCTTCCCCCAGATTTCCTTTGTGTGGATGTGGATGTGCTCCTCTGCCTTTCCAATAAATAAATAACTTCATTGCATTTTCCTTTATTTTTAATTTGTTCTCTGATTTTTATTATTTTTGCTTCGTTGATTTTAGATATGCTCCTTGTTTTTCTAGAAGCATGCTAGAATATTTGTTAGATTATTTAATACTTTTTTTGGTGTCGTTATTTACTAGCTACAAACTTTACACTTAACACTGATTCTAGTTATGTTTCTATGTTTTTTAGTGCCTAGGAATTTGAAATTTTGCTTTATATTTCAGTGACCTACTGTTCGTTCCAAGACTGACTGTTGTTCAGTCTCTATGTATATGTATAATTTTCTGAGTTTCTTTTGTTAGTTTCCGTCTTCATTGTGGCCAGAAAAGATACATGATATAATGTAGCTTTTTTTTTCTTATTTAGCATATGAGATGTAATGGTCTAATGTATGCTGTAACCTACAGAATATTCTAAAAACTGTAGCTCAGGGGTGGAATGTTGGTATAT